TTTTTCCTCGTAACAAATCCCGAGATAATTATTCATACAACTTGGAAGAATTAATGCAACTTCGAAGGAGACTTCGACATATGGGTTAGTGGCAAATTTCGGGCCACTCAAGACAAGAAGAGATATATACATTCAGCTTCTTATGTTTTAGCAGAAGTCTAACATGGCAAACGGAAATCCAATAGTTTAACGTGATGGAAAAATCGATCAATTGCCGAGACCTACATGGCCTACGCTATTTCTGTGCTTGGATGGGGTCGGAAGGAAAGAAGGGGAAGCAGTCAACACGGAGATATGTCATAATTAGTTTGTGGACTTTGACAAAGTCAAAAAGTGGTGGGACCAAAAGAAAAAAAAAGAAAGGAGAGAAGAAACGTTCAGCTATCAATTATAAAGGAAAAGTGGGCACGCACGAACACGAAAGGGAAAGAAAGAAGAAGGATAGAAAGAAAAGGAAAAGGAATACACGCTATCGGGACATTGACAAGCCAAATTTTTTTTGTTTTGTAACGCTCGATAAGGATTTAAGTCATTCGTTAGAGTAGTTTTCGGAATCAGGCATAAATTCAAACTTATGTAAAATTTAAACTGTGATGTCCGATTTTGAAATTATTAAGTTGTGGAATGAAATGGAAATCATATATTAAGGCATTGTAGAGCCATTAGGTTTGACGAGAGTTGATTTGAAGTGAAGTTTGTCAAAGCGAAGTTTTAGTCGAAGCGAAATTTTAAAGTTTGCGCATGAGCTCCACGCTGTAGATAGCTTCGAATATCTGCTTTTGGCAAGCGACTTGTTGACACATGGGAGTCATTTTGTTAGAGATTAAGCTTAATTTGGCCAATTTGTATTTGAGGTAGCTTTTACTCGATTTTGATGTTGTATCTAGCTTATTTGATAAGATTACGAATTTGATGGTTCAAATAACATTTGTAGTTTGGTTTTAGGATTTCCAAAGTGAGTGGCGCTATTTCTTTTTCGAATTTGTAAACTCAAATTTGAAAAGCAATATGGATGAGACATAGTATTAGTTATAAAAATGGTATTTTTGTTGCTTAAAAGTCTTAATCGAGCATTTACTACATTTTTAGTATTTGTGCAATGATTTGCGAATCTAGTTTATGAAATGAATTCTGAAATAATTTGAGAAATGTTTTACGAAAAGCATTTGTGGCAGATGAGCTGAGTTACGAAATGTTATATGTTTTGGTTTATAAAACGTATCCTGGTTTATGATATCATCCCAGATTTCATTTCTAATATTAGAGAATGATGGTATGATGATCATTATCACTGTGAAACCGGTTAGGGGTTTACGGGCATGTATACTAGTTTTAGAATATCCTTCCAGGCCAAACAACTGGCTAATAATAAGTGGAGACCTTACCGAGGGGAATCTTGGTCACCTTATCACCAGGTCTTATGTCGTGACCATAATTGGATATTGAGCAATAGATTGGTCAATGAAATAGACCATTCACGCGTGATTGATAGAGATTGATCAATAGAGTATACCATTGAGGTTTGAATTGTGATGGTGGTTAAAAAAGCATTTTTATTATGAATAAAGCTTTATTGAAATGAAACAACTCATATTGATTTGATATGTATATTGCTTTATATTTGCATAGTGGATGATTGATCTATTTAGAAGAGATGTTTTACTCACTAAACTGCGGTTGCTCATACCATTCGTCTTAAATGTTTTCAGGTTCCTCAATTAGCGGCAAATAGAATGTGAACGTTCGTGTTACGGCCAAGGCTTTTTATTAGAGAAAGTTTTGGATCTGAGCTTAGTTAGTTGTTTATTTCTAAGCTGTATATGACTAATATGAGTTTGTTAGGTTTAGCTGTTAATTGGAGATGTACATATTCCTTTTTATGGATTATGAAAACTCTAATGTTGTAACCAACTTGCTGATTTATCATATTTACATGCATATACATATATATGTGCGAAGATATATATTTTGATAAGTTGTTGGTTTGCATTTGAGGTTATGCCTTTTGGCTAGAAGGACGGTCATATCATTCCCCATTCTTGATGGATTCAGGGTATGACATCATCTATTTCAGTTTGGTAATTTCATAAATGGAGGGAGATGCTTTGCCACATCCATGCCAATGTTTCCATTTAAACGTAGAAGTAAATGAAGGGGAATTAAAAATATACTACTTTAAACCACCGGACATATTCACTTTAATGGGAAGGAAGCGCCTATTCACGACTGTTGATTTAGGATTTCAGTTGGGAGGAACGAGATGAAAAAGTGTCCACAACAAGTTCCATTGGCTAACTTTCTTTTTATATCTAGGGTCCAAGAACTACATGACATCTTGATCACGGATTGTGTTTGGCAAATACATCCATCGGCATAGCGCCTTTCAATTATCAAATGATCGTAGACATTTTCTGAAATGGCCTTGCCTATGATAATGGCAATTTGCAACTGCATTCATTTAGCATCATATATGAACAATTGTGCCTGGAACTCCATTCATTCAACCTCCCTGAAGCTACCAATAGGCATTCGACCTTACTAGTAAAAGGAGTGGAGGGTAATGTCGGAGAGTACCAAGTCTGACGTTCAATTCCTATGAGCAAGGCACACATATGTACATAGAAGAGATGCGAAACCAAAAAACAACCTCTCTGAAGTTGCACGTGCTATTCTTCATTCTCAAAAAGGTTGGTTGAGAATGTATGCAATGGTTAGAAAAGAATTGTAGTGATATCCCTGGATTAACTCACTAAGGTATTGTCCACTTTGGCCAGTCCTATACTAAGCCTTACAATTTTGTCTTTGGCATATAAGTGGATGTCACAATATGATATTAGAGCGGGACGCCCTCCAATTGGTATATGGTTCAGGAATGAACCACGCAGAAGCTAGTGGGCATGTAACAACCCCATCCGACAAAGGCAAAGACTGATCGCCAGGGCATGAGGACCTGGATAAGAAACGGCTCTTGGCAAGCTTCTAGGATGGTGAAGGCAGTAGGAATGAACCCAATTGTGAACCAAACAGGAAAAGAGCGATTTTGGGATATATAAAGCTAGAATTAAATCACGGAAGTGTCTTTTAACGTAACGACAAGTTTTGTTCTGGAATTCCAAAATTAAGCATGTTGAGGCTAGAGCACTACTAGTACAGGTGACCTCCTGGGAAAATGCATGTCAGTATGCCAAAGAACAAAATCGTAAAGCTTGGTATAGGAATGGCCAAAGTGAACAATATCTCGAGTAAGTTAAATCCAAATATGTCACAATTATACTCACTGAGTTCTTAATCACATGAAGGCACATGCAGATGGAGAGACTAGAAGGAAGTATGTGCACTAATAAGCCCTTGGGGGCATTTCATCAACTTGCATTTTGTATTAGAGAGAACATGAAATTGGGAGAACAATTCTGAAGCAATTTCCACAGACTGCCTAGAATAAATTCTAGGCAATCTGTGAATAGACTTCTCAAGTGTTACCTGCCAAATTTTCGAGTTTCAACTTCTGAAGAATCATAAGAACTGACTTTGGACCGTGGAACCAATACTACACATCGCTCTAATCTCCAGCAGCATTGGGAGAGCATTAAGCTGAGTCATTTTTCTGATACAGAAAAGGGCATGGGCGTGTGCAGTGACAGAGAGAGGCTGTAGAGCGTACAGGGCTTGGTTCGCCGATTCAAAAAGCCTAGGCGATTTTTTGGATTGCGGAACCAAATTATGTGTCTCTCAAGCATCTCACGGATGAGCCTGGTCATTGCATTGAACTAAATCATGGGGCTGGAAAGAGTAAGTGATCCCGATTATGAGTTCAGTTATCAGGCCACGCATTTATTTCTTGATCAATTTGATCCGTACCTTGAATTGTCTAACAGTGATGAGTTTTGCTTTTCTTTAATTGTCTAGCGTTGATTAGTCGAATAGAAGGACAAGGGAAGTGTACCTAATTCCATGACTTTGAAGACAAAATCTTTGACTTGGAAATTTCGTAGTGATCAGCAAATACTGGAAAGCTATGCTCACCAATGTGATGAACCAGCTGTTGATCAGACCATCTCTGTGGATCACAACTGGAGAAATTTCCTAACACGGCACATCAGGTATTGAGACAGCCGACAAAAAACTTTGAACAAAATAAAAACTCAATAGATGCTTATGACACCAACGAAAAGAAAGTAAGTAGTGAGTTTTTGTACATCTATACATTCCCTAAATAGTATGACCCATTGACCGACGGACGTACGGATTGTTTACACTCAGGAAAGAATGCTCGGCGTATTGTACTGTTTGCTATAACAGAAAAGGTTTAAGCAGAACAGAATAGAGTCGAAAGCTATAATGTGCATTTTGCTGCTTTTCTTTTCTTCTGCATGAGAGCTACGACTTAAGATTGCATGCCAGTGACATCCTATATGACCAGGACATTAGATTTACTGCTATTTCCAAAATCACCTTAATCTCTCAGTAAATAATCTGTACTAAGCACAGATGCACAGAAAATCCATTGGAAAAAGTTGCAACAAATGTCTAATGTGTTGTCCGATATGCTCCATAGGCTCAACCTGTCTTCAGGGACATACTTTATTGTCTCATTTGTCGGGGAGTTATTACCTGAAGAAAAGGAACAAGACCCATGACTATTTTACACATTTTAGAGTTCCAGGAACCACATTAACCAGTCAGTCTGCTCATATGCGTTGGCTATGCATTTGCACAAACGATTTCTGTCCTAGACGTCACTCAACAACGCATGCAGAATACAGTAAAACTTGGAAAAGAAAAAGAAACTAAAAACTGAAAAGTTTATGGTAGCTTCTATTCTAGCATATGAAGGTCTCAGTGCCTTTGGCTCTGGCAAAAAGGTTATGACTGATTGGTGGCTAATGGAGGAGTTGGAGAATAGTGGTTCTCCAAACTAGACATAGGTCACAAATTAGTTTTCGCACCAGTGTGCTTCGAAGAATTAGAATTTGCTCGAATTGTTTACATCTTTTCAAATCTAAAATCAACTGCATCGATAAATTAATTTGCCTTCGCAGATGTAGATATATTCAGCAGCATAGGCTGGTCAAGATTCTCATGATTAGCATGCTAAACTTGAATTAACAAAATACTAAACAACATGCTCACTATAGCACAATAAGATTACTACCTATATAATGAACGCACACAGCTCTGCCCGTATGTATGAGAAGGGATACCATCATGATTTCATGGAACGATTGAAGAGTTGCAGCTATTGAAAGGGAATGGACATGGAGGAACAGGCACTCCCACTGCCCCTTCTAGCATCTGCGTCACCTTCCTCATCGTCGGCCTCGAAGAGGGGTCCTCTTGAATACACCAGAACGCGACCATGACCAGATTCTTCCGCTTCTCTCTGTCTAGCAGAGCCTCAACGTCGCCTTCGACTAGTACATCCAACCTTCCCTCCGTGAAGCAATCATAAGCCCAATCGATCAAGGCCTCTCTCTCTGTTTCTTCTTCACTTGTTTGGCTTCCCAAGCAACTCCTACAAGAGATTATCTCGAGAAGCAGGACACCGAAACTGTACACATCCACTTTCACGGTGATGGGCAGGTTGCTGAACCAATTGGGAGCGACGTACCCTCTCGTCCCTTGGATGTTCGTTTGGGTGTAGCTCTGGTTCATCATTAGGAGCTTGGCCATCCCAAAATCGGAGATCTTCGCAACACAATAGTTGTCGAGGAGGATGTTCTGCGGCTTTATGTCGCAGTGGATGATCTGCACCGGGCACTCATCGTGCAAGTACATTAGTCCCCTGGCTACTCCGAAAGCGATCTGGCATCTCTTGTTCCAAGGGGTTTTCAGTTTTGGATCTTCTTCAAAGAGAAGGCTCGACAGACTGCCGTTGCTCAAGAACTCATAAACCAGCAATCTTTCTTGCCCTTCATCACAGAAACCGAGTAATCTGACTAGATTCTTGTGATGGGTCTGACCGATCACATTCACTTCGGTTCTGAACTCCTTCTCCTTGTCCTGCATCATGCTAGTCAGCTTTTTCACTGCCACCGCTACATCGTTTGAAATCGCCCCTTTATAAACAATCCCGAAAGCTCCCCTCCCTAGCTCTTCCTTGAACCCTTCCGTGGCTTGGAAGAGCTCCTGGTAAGTGAAATAGCGCAAATTCGTCTCCACCATTTTCCCTTTCGTGGATATTTTCTTGAGTTGTTTGCGGTGGATTAGGAAAAAACCCACGCAAGCGCCGATCAGTCCCAAAAGCACTGATCCTACCAAAACCAAAGTTTTCTGATCTTCATATTTTACCGTTGGCTCCCGGAATCGGGAATCGTCAGTAGGAGGAAAGTAGAGCTTTGGGACTTTGATCATGGCCTTCCCGTTGAGTGTAGGGACAATTCTCCCATTGGAGAGCGGGAGCTTCTTCTTCCAGCAACTCTGGCCATCCCTGTAAACCGCCACCGCGCACATGCAGTCGTGCAAGCATGAGTTCCGGCACTCGTCTTCGCTGAAAGGCTGCAATAGCGCATAATCGGAGGTTGGCCAATCTGTGTTCACGAATTCTTTGAACTCGTACAGGTCCTCCATCGGACCAAGCTTCAACCTTTCCTGATCTTCCGCACAGCTCTGCGTGAAATTAGGCCTGCAACTGCCATACTTGTCACTGGGATCGAGCAACGTGAATTTGTCTGGGCAGTTACACTTTGGCCTGTTATCCGCACCCAGTTTGCAAATGCTGTTGTACCCACAAACGCCAATTCCATCACGGACATAAACATCGCTACATATGTCTTGAGGTTGCACCACAGAATTCTCCAGCTTCCACTGGAACCAGAATTCTTGGGGTGCACATACTGAGTCAAGACACCATCAAAGTCCAGGGTGACTCTGTGATAAAAATCCGACGTCGAAGGTATTTTCCCCTGCGAGAGATAGACTTTCTCGCCATCTTCTCTTGAGACGAACAGAGAACCCGAGTTGCTGAACACAAGTTCTTTCCCCGCTGTCGGTGAGTTGGAGCTGCCGGTCTTGGCACTATAATAAGCCTCGTTGGTGTAATTGGAAGGCAGGTTGATCGTGTTGAGCACGAGGTTTCCGCTGTCGAGCATCCAAAGTTGGAATCTCCCTCTGGAAAAGCTCTCCTCCGATTGACGAGAGGAGAGGAGTATGTTCTTTCCTAGCACTTGCGACGGAAGCAATGTGTCGCTAGGATTGTCGAAGCTCTGCCATAGTACCTCCGAGCTCGAGTCCAGGATCACGAAATTGCCTGTGTCATTGAACACAGCGTGCAAGACGGTGCCGGAGATGTTCTCGGATTTCCACAGCTCTTCACCCTGCGGATTGGTGAGGACGAGACCTGAACCAGAAGTGAGTTCTAGCTTCGAGTTTGCGGGGACCGGACGGCCTTGATTCCCGAACCAGATGATTGTTTCAGAAGGTATATTGTTATACCAGATGGAAAGCAAGAAGAGTCGGTCATTCTTGGTGTCGCCGTTGGATAAGGAGCCAAAGCCGAATGCGAAGTCTTCAGAAGGAGAAAGCCATGAAGAGTTGCCATTTGTGGCAGTTAGAGAAGATCCAACTGCTATGTTAGTTTGGGCTAGAGAAGGATTTGGGAGTAGAAAAAGCAAGAAAAAGAGGATATATGAGTCGAAACAGGGGACATCGAAGGAGGATTCATTCAGTTATCAAACAAGAAAATATTCAATTCAAGAATGGGTTTGAACTCAGCTAGAAGAGAGGAAGAAGGCTCTGGCTATGGAGTTTTGAGGTCAACGAAGTCTTTGTGAATCAGCGAAGGAATGTGATGAGAACGATAATTGATGCAACCACCTCTACTGTCCTGCATTTTTGGGCGGGCATTTAAGCAGATTCGATTCAAGACGTCGAATCTTCTTTTAGTCCAGAGAGTAAAAACCGGCTTGAGCTGTTAGCTGAATATTCTTTTGGTCGTCTCAATAGGATTATCATGTGGAATCTATGGCTATGTTTGGTGGTCCGGATTTCTAATCAAGATAGGACTGGATAGGATAGGATAAGAAGTCATGGGATTTTGTCATATCCTAACTACTGTTTGGTGAATTTCGAATTTAAAGTCGGATATTTTTATATCCTATTTTATCCATTGTTTAGTAGAAACCGGATACCAATATAAAGGACATATATGCCCCTATGTAGTGTCCATGAAATAATATCAATCTCATCATCATAAAAATTTCTTTGCGTGACCAAAAATGACAAAAACTGCTGTCACAAATTCACAAGGTTTGCTACTCTAATGCACATGCTGCTAACATTACTAGCCATAAATTGATCTTAGCATAAATATGTGGTGCTTCGGGAACTCAATGGAGAACAAAGGGGCAGAAGGCAGATTCTGGAAGCCTAGAGGAGAACCCCGTGATATAGTTGGTGATGCTTCCGTCAATGGTCGAGTAGCAACTCATGAATTCTATGAAGAACAAGGCCCGCATGTTGAAAAAACTAATTGGTTGATGTTGGAGGACTATGTAACTTTGAAGGTGTCAAGAGAAGCTGTTTTGGCAAAGTATTACCCGAATTCCACGTTGTCTATGCTAATTCATGGATGTATTTTTACTCTACTGCGAGTCAATGGCCAGTTTAGGTTGGATTTCGTGCAGGATGCTAATTCGCTCTGCAAAGTCTTCTATAGTAGTAGCTTGCCACCATCTGACAGTGAAATGCTGCAAAATGTTGCGGGTACTGAGATCCATTGAGAAAACTACGTTTACTCATTGCCTCCAGATAATTTCAACATACCTACCGAGCAATGTGTAACCAACTAGATTTCACGGATTGAAGCTCGAATTCACCTGAGATGGAGCTTAAATTCGTCAGATTAGAGCTACGGAGAAGAAGACGTTTCAACTCTCGCTACTTTCGTAGTTTGGATTCGTGAAACTTCGATGTGAGAGGAGTCGCACGTGTGAACAAGAAGAAAGAAAAGAAGAGTGTAGGGTTTTCTGAAAAATAGCTAGACAAGAGAAATCCTATCCGGGTCTATCCCATCTCCCCTTAGGATTTTTTTATCCGGGCTCCTTTATATCCGACTTTATCCTATCCTAGAGATTTACCAAACACATGATAGCATAAAAAATATCATATCCCGATTTTTATCCTGACGACCAAACGCACCCTATGTGTCATAGTTAGAGCTTGGACTGGACTGGGTCATCACAGGTAGCGCCCCAAAAAAAAAAACTTTGACCTGGTCATCAAACAAGGAAGAGTGGACGCCTCAACTAGAAAATATTGGGTAGGACTGATTTTTCACGTCATCCGTAAGTCACTCCATTCGTTGGGCAACGCGCGGCAATGTGGGTCCCACTATTCACCTTTACTCTGCTTTCTCTTCTCTTCGTCACCCTTTCACCCGAACTTTTCTGCCCACAACCATTACTCTCTCTTTCTCACCCACCTTTCACCATTTTCTTCTTCGGCACACATCCATACCCACGACACCTCCATCATCAACTTACAATGCAGAAGAGGAGCTTCATTTTTCTTTTTCTTTTTCTTTTTCTTTTGTGGTCATAACCTCAGCAATGTGCTTGATCTCCAAGCATTTATGACCTGATTTTTGTGCACAGTAAGAAGAAATGTTGCTAAATCCACAGAGACCCCAACAACAACAATTCTCGATACTGCAATACTAAGAATCTAGCTTTGATTGATATAACTCTTTCTCATTTGCTCTCTAATTACATGCTCACAAGGAAAAAAAAAAGGAGCAATCTTTTTCATCAACCTCACCAACATGAAGAGAGAGAGAAAAAACTAGAAAACATTAAAAGAATAAACTCTTGAAACAATCTCGATAACAGCTAGAAGAAGAAGAAGAAAGACAGGGAACTCAGTCCGTTAGGGTCCAGATCTTGGGGTCTTTTATTCCATCGATTATGGATCTCTCCTCTTCCTCCTCCTCCTCGTTCTCTTTTTTTTTTATTGCCTTTACTAGCTCTCTCACTACGGCATTAAATCAATCAATCAATAAGCTTCGACAAATGACGACGATCTCCTGCCGTGACCGAAGCTCTAGGCATAGCTCATTGAATCGCACACTGATAGGTCTATGGGAGGTAGACGAAGAAGAAGAAGAGAAAAGTGTAGAGCGGAAGAGAGAGAGTCGGTCAGTAACATTGACAGTAATAGAGAAGAGAGAGTGACGGAAAGGAGAAAGAGTTGGACTCGAAGTGCCACGTGTCGCCCAACAAATGGAGTGACTTTTGGATGACGTGGAAAATCAGTCCTACCCAACATTTTCTCAGGAAAAGTGGGCACACAGGAATAGAAAGGGAAAGAAAGAAGAAGAAAATAAAGAAAGGGAAAGAAGAAGAAAATAAAGAAAAGGGAAAGGAGTACCCGCCAAAGGGGCTACGTCAAGTCGGATATACTTCGTTTTGCAACACCTGGTAAGAATTTAAGGTTGCGTTTGGTCATTTAGATTTCTAGTCAAGAGGATTGGATAGGATAGGATATGAAATTTAGGGATTTTGCCATATCCTATCTACTATTTGGTGAATCGCAGTAATAAAACTGGTTATTTTCATATCTTATCGTGCCCATTATTTGGTATTTACGACATATCAATATAGATGAACATGAAAATGAACAAATGGAGATTGTAAAAATTTCTCATAATTCATTGATAAATCTAGTAAGAGAGTAAAATTATGATCATTTACTTTTGCAATTACTATAGTATTTTGACTCTCCGGCTACTTTTGTGAAACTTCGACATGAACCACAAAATTACGAAGGAGTTTTAATTCTCTTGTTGCTTCCGTGGACTTTTGAAATGAACCAGAGAACTACGAAGGAGAAGAAGCTTCGACTCTCTCGCTATTTTTGTAGAGCTTTCACGTGAACTAAAAAACTACGGAGGAGTCATAAAGCTTCAATGTCAACCAAAGACACAAAGGAGAAGGAGAAGAGAGAGGATAGGTTTTTTTAAGAAATATCATTGCCCCTTATTTTTTAGAGAATTAGAAAGATTCTTTTCAAGTTTAAATTTGTTCATTTAAAATGTGAGTTCATCTACTTCATTTTTTTTTACTTATTTTTTTTATTTTTTCCATCTCTTTTATTATTTTTTATTCCCTTCAATCATTCATTTATAAAAAATTTATTAAATAGTAAACTATACTATTATACCTAAAATACATAAAAATATAGATATCAAATATATATATACACAATATATATATTATAGAGTAGAAAGAAATTCAAATATATAAATAATATAGGAATGAATAAAAACGAAAATTATTTTTTTGTTATTTTGAATTTTCTTTTGCATCTTAAAACTCAAATATTATTTATATTTAATTATTATTTTGGTTTTATAATTTAAAATTTTTATTATTTGAGAAAAATAGCTTTTACACCATAAATATAAAAAATTATATCCACCTTTATCCTACCTTCCCCATGAGATAATTTTATCCAATCTATGTCCTCTTTATATCTGACTTCATCCTGTCTGGGTTAGGAACCAAATATGGGATAGGATAAATGTTATCATATCTTGAATTTTATCCTAACTACCAAACGCAGTCTAAGCCATTTATTCATATAATCAGAGTAATATTCTGAATTAGGACACAAATTCGAAGTTATGTGAAATTTGAACTACGAGGTCCAGTGTAGGAGTTGTTGAGCTGTGGGAATACATGGAAAGAGTAGATAAGAGTGTTGTAGAGCCGTGGGGTTTGACAAAAATCGATTTGGAATAACAGTTTAGTCAGAGCAAAATTCTAAAGTTCCGCACTCAAGCTTCGCGTTGTGGATATCTGCTTTAGGCGAGCGATTTGTTGACACGTGAGAGTCATTTTGTTGGTGATTAAGCTTTGTTTAGTCGATTCGTAGTCGATGTAGTATTTTACTTGATTTCGACATTATTTCTTGTTTAGTTGATAGGATTGCAAGTTCAATGGTTGGAGTAACCTTTGTTGTTTGGTCTTAGGCATTTTCAGGGAAGTGGTACTATCCCTTTTTCGAGTTTGTAAACTCATATTTCGAAAGCAATATGGACTAGATATAGTATGAGTTAGGGAAAAATCCAAATAAGGGCCTAAAGTGCACTCATTTTCTTAAATAAGAGCCTAAAGTGGACGTTGTCTCAAATAAAGGCATGAAGTGCTCTCATTTTCTCAAATAATTATCTGAAGTGGACCTTGTCTCAAATAAGGACATGAAGTGGTCATATCAGTCTCAAAAAAGGACCTGACTTCGCTGGTCAAAGGGTATTTTCGTCATTTACTTTTGTGAATATTTTTTTCTTTTTTTTTCCTTTTTCTGTTTTTCTCTTTTCCTTTTTTTTCTTTTCTTTTCTTTTTCTTTTTTCTTTTTCCTCTTCCTTCTGTCAGCCATTGCCGGGCCTCTTCGATGGCCAACGGAGGTCGTCGAACTCAGGCGAGACGCCAGCGAGGGTTGCCTCACCCTCGCCTGGGCTAGGCAAGCGAGGGTGACCCTCACCAGATCTGGTGAGGGCAACCCTCGCCCTCGCCAACCCAGGCTGCCGGCGTCAGGCTAGGCCTCGCCCAGGCCGAGGCGAGGGCAGATCTGGGAGAGGGTCTCCGCCCTCTCCCGCTTCTAGCGAGAGCATGCTGGCCCTCACTAAGGCGTCGGCCATTGCCGCCACCTCAACGGGGATGGGTAGGCGGCCATAGGCTCCCGTTGGTATTTTTTTTCTTTTTTTTTATCTAATTTAATAAAATTTATGTTAAAATTATTTTTGGATAAAAATACCCTTAACCGGTCGACGGGGTTAGGCCTTATTTGAACTATTATAGCCACTTTAAGTCCTTATTTGAGAAAATAATGGCACTTCATGCCTTTATTTGACACAACATCCACTTCAGGCCCTTATTTGAAATTTTCCCTATGAGTTATGAAATGGTATTATTGTTGCATAAAAGTCTAGATCGAGCATTTACAACCTTTTTAATATATATCCATTGTGAATCTAGTTTATGAAATGAATTCTAAAATGATTTGACATATGTTTGTACAAAAGATATTCAGATCGATGAGCTAAGTTGCGAAAGGTTATCTATTTGGGTTGTGAAATGTATATTGGTTTAGGGTTAATATCATGAAAAATCCAAACTGGTACATCTGCGACAAATTTACCCCAGACTAATTTTTTTACCACAAAAAACCCTAAACTAGTACATCAGTGACAAATATACCCCAAACTAATTGTTTGACCACCAAAAACCCCAAACCGATATATTTATAACAAATTTACTCTCCATTAGTTTTCGTTAAATTGGATCAATACCGTGAAAAATCACAAACTGATACACATATGATAAATGTAAGGTAAAACCTCTAACTGGTATATACGTCAACTATCATGTGTCATCCAACTCAGTAATTTGACAGTAAAATTTAACGGAAACTAACAGAGAGTAAATTTATCACAGGTGTACCAGTTTGAGGTTTTTGGTGGTTAAAAATTTAGTTTGAGATAAATTTGTCACAGACGTACCAGTTTTGGATTTTTGGTGGTATTAACCCATTGGTTTATGAGATATATTCTAGATTGGAATTTTGATATTGAAGGATGATGACTTGATGCTCATTATCACTGTAAACCCGGTTAGGGGTTTCTAGGTATGCATAGTGATTTTAGGATAACCTTCAAGGCCAAGCCACCGGCTGATAATAAGTGGAGAGCTTGCCAAGGGGGAAAATCTTGGTCGCCTTGTCGTTGGGCATTGTATTATGATCATGGTTTGATATTGAGCAATAGATTGGTCGATGGAATGGACCATTAACGTGTAATTTGATAGAGATTGATCGATGGACTTGACCATTGATGTTTGAATTGCGATGATGGGTTCAATGAGTATTTTTGAGTTATATAAAGCTTTGTTGAGACGAAACAACTCATATTTGATTTGATATATATGTTATATCTCGGGTTTGGATTATGAGTTTCAGGTTTTTCTTTTTATATGTGCATAGTAGATGTTCGATCTGGTTAGAAGAAATGTACTGCTCACTGGACCGGGGTTGCTCATAGCCTTATATCATTCATCTTAAATATTTTTCAGGTTCCTCAATTAGCAGCAAATAGAACAAGAGCGTTCACATTATCGCCGAGACATTTTGATAGAGAGATTTTTGGGTATCAGCTTAGTTAGTTGTTTATTTTTGTGCTGTATATGACGGAGATGAGTTTGTTGGGTTTAGTTGTTAGTTGTAGATGTATATATTCTTTTTGATGAATTATAGAAACTTTGATGTACTCAATCTGCTGATTTATTATATATATATTTTTTGATAACATGATGTTGGTTTATATTTGAAGCTGCATCTTTCGGGTGCAAGGATGGCCGTGTCATTCTCCCATTCTTGATGGATTCGGAGTGTGACATTATCAATTTCGATTTGGGAGTTTCATAAATGGAGGGAGATGCTCTGTCACATCCATGTCAATGTTTCAATTTGAACGCAGAAGTAAATGAAGGGGAATTAGAAATGTACCACTGTAAACGCCTGGACATATTCATTTTAATGGCAAGGAAGCGCCTATTCACGACTGCTTTAAGTTGGGAGGAGCGAGATGAAAAAGTGCCCACAACAAGTTCTGTGGGCTAACTTTCTTTTTATATCTAGGGTCTACGAACTGCGGGGCATCCTGATCGCGGATTGTGTTTGGTAAATGCATCCATTGGCATAGGGCCTTTCAATTATCAAATGATCGTAGACACTTTCTGAGACGGCCTTGCGACAATGGCAATTTGCAACTCCAATCATTTAGCATCATATATGGACAACTGTACCTGGAACTTCATTCGTTCAACCTCTCTGAAGCTGCACGTGCTTTATCTTCAATCTCAAAAAGGTTGGTTGAGAATGTATGCAACGGTCAGAAGAGAATTATACTCACTGATCTGAGTTCTTAAATCACATGAAGGCACATGCAGATGGAGAGACTAGAAGGAAGCATGCATGTGCACTAATCTCCAGCAGCATTGGGAGAGCATTTCATTACTTGCATTTTGTATTAGAGAGCACATGAAATTGGGAGAACAATTCTGAAGCAATTTCTACACTGACTGCCTAGAACAAACTCTAGGCAATCTGTGAATAGACTTCTTGAGTGTTGCCTGCCAAATTTTCGAGTTTCAACTTCTGAAGAATCATAAGAACTGACTTTGGACCGTGGAACCAAGACTATAACATCGCTCTAATCTCCAGCAGCATTGGGAGAGCATTAAGCTGAGTCATTTTTCTGATACAGAAAAGGGGGGAAAATTGTCCAAATAGTCCTAAACCTATTGCACTTTTGCCAATTCACTCCTAAACCTTTCTACTTTACCAATTGAGTCCTAAACCTTTTCATTTCTTATCAGTTGAGTCCTAAACATTTTCATTTCTTGCCAATTGAGTCCATCCGGCCAATTATAGCCGGAAATCGCTGACGTGAACACCGGACGGCCACGTGGCACTGACGTGGACATTTTAAAATAATATTTTAATAAAATTATGATTTTTTTAGCTTTTTTCTTCTTCTTCTTCTTTTTCCTTTTGCTCTGTTTTTTTTTCTGGGTTTCGACTTAGGATTGGCGAGGGTGGCCGGCCAACCCTCGCCGGCCACGGGCGAGGGTTGGCGACCCTCGCCCGCCACAGGCGAGGGCTGGCGACCCTTGCCAGCTCTGGGGGAGGGCGTCGCGACCCTCGCCGGCCCTCGGCGAGGGCTGCGACGCCCTCGCCAGATCTGGCCAGACGAGGGCTTGGCGGCCCTTGCCGGCCCTAGGCGAGGCACACGACGGCTTCGAGTGCCTCGCCTGGCCAAATTTGGCGAGGGCGTCGCGACCCTCGCCGGATCTGGGCGAGGGCTCGCGCGCCTTGCTTTGGCCAGCGAGGGCGTCGCAGCCCTCGCCCAGAGCCAGCGAGGGTCGGGCGGCCCTCACCCAGAGCCGGCGAGGGTCGGCCGACTACCCTCGCCGGCTCTAATTTCAAACCCAAAAAAAAAAAAAACAGAGCAAAAGGAAAAAAAGAAGAAGAAAAAAGCATAAAAAAATCATAAAATTATTAAAATATTATTTTAAAATGTCCACGTCAGCGCCACGTAGCCGCTCGGCGTCCACGTCAGCGATTTCCGGCCAAAATTGGCCGGATGAACTCAATTGGCAATAAATGAAAAGGTTTAGGACTCAACTGGCAATAAATGAAAAGGTTTAGAACTCAATTGGCAAAGTTGAAAGGTTTAGGACTGAATTGGCAAAAGTGCAATAAGTTTAGGACTGTTTGGACAATTTTTCCCAGAAAAGGGCATGGGCAGGTGTAGTGACAGAGAGAGGCTTTAGAGCGTACAGGGCTTGGTTCGCCGATTCAAAAAGCCAAGGCGATTTTTTGGATTGTGGAACCAAATTATGTGTCGCTCAAGCAGGTCATGGATGAGCCTGGTCACTGCATTGAACTAAATCATGGGGCTGGAAAGAGTAAGTGATCCCGATTATGAGTTCAGTTATCAGGCCACGCATTTATTTCTTGATCAATTTGATCCGTACCTTGAATTGTCTAACATTGATGAGTTTTGCTTTTCTTTAATTGTCTAGTGTTGATTAGTCGAATAGAAGGACAAGGGAAGTGTACCTAATTCCATGACTTCGAAGACAAAATTTTTGACTTGGAAATTTCGTAGTGATCAGCAAATACTGGAAAGCTATGCTCACCAACGTGATGAACCAGCTGTTGATCAGACCATCCCTGTGGATCACAACTGGAGAAATTTCCTAACACGGCACATCAGGTATTGAGACAGCCGACAAAAAACTTTGAACAAAATAAAAACTCAATAGATGCTTATGACACCAACTAAAAGAAAGTAAGTAGTGAGTTTTTGTACATCTATACATTCCCTAAATAGTATGACCCATTGATCGACGGACGTACGGATTGTTTACACTCAGGAAAGAATGCTCGGCGTTTTGTACTGTTTGCTATAACAGAAAAGGTTTAAGCAGAACAGAATGGAATCGAAAGCTATAATGTGCATTTTGCTGCTTTTCTTTTCTTCTGCATGAGAGCTACGACTTAAGATTGCATGCCAGTGACATCCTATATGACCAGGACATTAGATTTACTGCTATTTCCAAAATCACCTTAATCTCTCAGTAAATAATCTGTGCTAAGCACAGATGCACAGAAAATCCATTGGAAAAAGTTGCAACAAATGTCTAATGTGTTGTCCGATATGCTCCATAGGCTCAACCTGTCTTCAGGGACATACTTTATTGTCTCATTTTTCGGCGAGTTATTACCTGAAGAAGAGGAACAAGACCCATGGCTATTTTGCACATACAACAGCTCGTGTTTTACACGTTTTAGAGTTCCAGGAACCACATTAACCAGTCAGTCTGCTCATATGCGTTGGCTATGCATTTGCACAAACGATTTCTGTCCTAGACGTCACTCAACAACGCATGCAGAATACAGTAAAACTTGGAAAAGAAAAAGAAACTAAAAACTGAAAAGTTTATGGTAGCTTCTATTCTAGCATATGAAGGTCTCAGTGCCTTTGGCTCTGGCAAAAAGGTTATGACTGATTGGTGGCTAATGGAGGAGTTGGAGAATAGCGGTTCTCCATACTAGACATAGGTCACAAATTAGTTTTCGCACCAGTGTGCTTCGAAGAATTAGAATTTGCTCGAATTGTTTACATCTTTTCAAATCTAAAATCAACTGCATCGATAAATTAATTTGCCTTCGCAGGTGTAGATATATTCAGCAGCATAGGCTGGTCAAGATTCTCATGATTAGCATGCTAAACTTGAATTAACAAAATACTAAACAACATGCTCACTATAGCACAATAAGATTACTACCTATATAATGAACACACACAGCTCTGCCCTTATGTATGAGAAGGGATACCATCATGATTTCATGGAACGATTGAAGAGTTGCAGCTATTGAAAGGGAATGGACATGGAGGAACAGGCACTCCCACTGCCCCTTCTAGCATCTGCGTCACCTTCCTCATCGTCGGCCTCGAAGAGGGGTCCTCTTGAATACACCAGAACGCGACCATGACCAGATTCTTCAGCTTCTCTCTGTCTCGCAGAGCCTGCACGTCGCCTTCGACTAGTACATCCAACCTTCCCTCCATGAAGCAATCATAAGCCCAATCGGTCAAGGCCTCTCTCTCTGTTTCTTCTCCACTTGTTTGCTTTCCCAAGCAACTCCTACAAGAGATTATCTCGAGAAGCAGGACTCCGAAACTGTACACATCCACTTTCACGGTGATGGGCAGGTTCCTGAACCATTCGGGAGCGACGTACCCTCTCGTCCCTCGGATGTTCGTTTGGGTGTAGCTCTGGTTCATCATTAGGAGTTTGGCCATCCCAAAATCGGAGATCTTCGCAACACAATAGTTGTCAAGGAGGATGTTCTGCGGCTTTATGTCGCAGTGGATGATCTGCACCGGGCACTCATCGTGCAAGTACATTAGTCCCCTGGCTACTCCGAAAGCGATCTGGCATCTCTGGTTCCAAGGGGTTTTCAGTTTTGGATCTTCTTCAAAGAGAAGGCTCGACAGACTGCCGTTGCTCAAGAACTCATAAACCAGCAATCTTTCTTGCCCTTCATCACAGAAACCGAGTAATCTGACTAGATTCTTGTGATGGGTCTGACCGATCACATTCACTTCGGTTCTGAACTCCTTCTCCTTGTCTTGCATCATGCTAGTCAGCTTTTTCACTGCCACCGCTACATCGTTTGAAATCGCCCCTTTATAAACAATCCCGAAAGCTCCCCTCCCTAGCTCTTCCTTGAACCCATCCGTGGCTTGGAAGAGCTCCTGGTAAGTGAAATAGCGCAAATTCGTCTCCACCATTTTCCCTTTCGTGGATATTTTCTTGAGTTGCTTGCGGTGGATTAGGAAAAAACCCACGCAAGCGCCGATCAGTACAAAGTTCACAAAACCAGAAGTTCCCAAAAGCACTGATCCTACCAAAACCAAAGTTTTCTGATCTTTATATTTCACCGTTGGCTCCCGGAATCGGGGATCGTCAGTAGGAGGAAAGTAGCGCTTCGAGACTTTGATCATGGCCTTCCCGTTGAGTGTAGGGACAATTCTCCCATTGGAGAGCGGGAGCTTCTTCTTCCAGCAACTCTGGCCACCCCTGTAAACCGCCACCGCGCACATGCAGTCGTGCAAGCATGAGTTCCGGCACTCGTCTTCGCTGAAAGGCTGCAATAGCGCGTAATCGGAGGTTGGCCAATCTGTGTTTACTAATTCTTCGAACTCGTACAGGTCCTCCATCGGACCAAGCTTTAACCTTTCCTGATCTTCCGCACAGCTCTGCGTGAAATTAGGCCTGCAACTGCCATACTTGTCACTGGGATCGAGCAACGTGAATTTGTCTGGGCAGTTACACTTTGGCCTGTTATCCGCACCCAGTTTGCAAATGCTGTTGTACCCACAAACGCCAATTCCATCACGGACATAAACATCGCTACATATGTCTTGAGGTTGCGACCACAGAATTCTCCAGCTTCCACTGGAACCAGAATTCTTGGGGTGCACAACCTGAGTCAAGACACCATCAAAGTTCAGGGTGACTCTGTGATAAAAATCCGACGTCGAAGGTATTTGCCCCTGCGAGAGATAGACTTTCTCGCCATCTTCTCTTGAGACGAACAGAGAACCCGAGTTGCTGAACACAAGTTCTTTCCCCGCGGTCGATGCGTTGGAGCTGCCGTCGGTCTTGGTGCTATAATAAGCCTCGTTGGCGAACTCGGAAGGCAGGTTGATCGTGTTGAGCACGAGGTCTCCGCTGTTGAGCATCCGAAGTTGGAATCTTCCTCTGGAAAAGCTCTCCTCCAATTGACGGGAGGAGAGGAGTTTGTTCTTTCCTAGCACTTGCGACGGAAGCAATGTGTCGCAAGGATTGTCGAAGCTCTGCCATAGTACCTCCGAGCTCGAGTCCAGGATCACGAAATTGCCTGTGTCATTTAACACAGCGTGCGAGACGGTGCCGAGGATGTTCTCGGATTTCCACAGCTCTTCACCCTGTGGATTGGTGAGGACGAGACCTGAACCAGAAGCGAGTTCTAGCTTCGAATTTTCGGGGGCCGGACGGCCTTGATTCCCGTACCAGACGATTGTTTCAGAAGGTATCTTGTTAAACCAGATAGAAAGCAAGAAGAGTTGGTCATTCTTGGCGTCGCCGTTGGATAAGGAGCGAAAGCCGAATGCAAAGTCTCCAGAAGGAGAAAGCCATGAAGAGTTGCCCTTTGTGGCAGTTAGAGAAGATTCAACTGGTATGTTAGTTTGGGCTAGAGAAGGATTCGGGAGTAGAAAAAGCAAGCAAAAGAGGATGTGATGGATCGAAACAGGGGACATTGATGGAGGATTCATTTAGTTATCAAACAGGAAAGTATTCAATTCAAGAATGGGTTTGAACTCAGCCAGAAGAGAGGAAATAAGGTTGTGGCTATGGAGTTTTGAGGTCAACGAAGTCTTTGATGCAACGACCCGCTGTGTTGCATTATCGGTTGGGCATTTAAGCAGACTCCATTGAAGACTTTTCCATCCTCTTTTAGTCAAGAGAGTAAAGACCGGCTCGAGCCATTGGCTGAAAGTTCTTTTGGTTGTCTTATTAGGATTATTGTATGGAATTTATGGGTAGAGGTACAGATTAAGGTTGCAATTCTGGTGCCATGCATGCACACATCCTTGATCAGTATGCGCACCGTACTTGATCAATGTACTAAATTCCATACGGTATTTCTTTGGTTCCTTCATCTTGTCGAATTATAGTAGACTTTTTGTGCAATGTTGGGTGCCTGGGTTTCTTAAAGCACCCGACCCAATTCCATCCGGCCACGGCAACATCTTATCCCACCACCGACTCCCAGGTCAACCCAAGAATCTTACGGCATCAATTTGTTGAATCATAAGGCCAGGGCTCTCTGCTAATTTCTATGAGCATGATAAGATGGAAACGAAGGGTACCCACGTTTGAAGTTTGAGCACCCACTTGAACGGACTGGCTGTTTGGTATGAATTGCAGATATTTTTCCCAGCAACTAGTCCTGAGATGTGATGCCGTCCAACTTGGAATAGTCTTCGAAGAAGACGCGTCGTACGGGTAATTTGGCAAAAGTAGGGCCACTCAAGACAAGCAGAGAAATTTCCATTCAGCTTCTCATTTTTTCAGCAGAAGTCCTAAGATGGCAAACGGAAATTCAATAGTTTAATGCGATGGAAAGTTCGATCAATGGCTGAAAATTACGCGGCCTACATGTGTTTTCTGTGCTTGGACGGAAGTAATTGGAAGGAAAGAAGAAGGGGAAGCAGTCAAGACAATCTAATGTCATCTGCTTCTGTTTGGCAGTTTCATAAATGGAGGGAGATGCTACCCTCACATCAATGTCAATGTTTCACTTCGAACGCAGAAGTAAATGAAGGGGAATTAAAATGTACCAACGTAAAAGCCCAGACATATTCACTGTAATGGGTAGGATGCACGCTATTCGAAGAGGCCGATTTGGGATTTAAGTTGGGCGGAGCGAGAGGAAAAATGGTGCCCAAACTTTTTTGTTATATCTACTTATCTAGAGTCCGAAAGTTTCACGGGCTAATTTTAGAGCACATCTCAAGGCCAGGGAGGCTGCCACCGCCACCGGCGCCATCCCGTCCATCTCTGAGGCTATGTTTCGTCTGATTTTACAAGAGGATTCTCATGCGGGGTTGAATGGAATGACTACGAGAAAGTGGTCCCGGAATGAGGAATCCTCTGACTAGTTCAAAACAATCGGCTAAGCAATCATGTGGAAGTTGAGACCATAAGAACTCACGAGGTGTGGCGAGAAATTTAGACTCGCGGACCCAAATATCATTGAGTTACTCCAGGAACTGCGGAGCATCTTAATGCGCGGGATGTGTCTGGCAAATGCATTCAGTTGCTCCTTCCACTTATCAAACGATTGGAGACACTTTCTGGAGCGGTCTTCTCTTACCTATGACAATTGCCATTTGGAACTTTATTCGTTCGGGATAAGTGCACTGAAAGTCCTAAAACTTATCACGAAAGTACAATTGAGTCCTAACTTTCAAAAAATGTAATCAAATCCTAAAACTTGTCAAGAAAGTGCAATCGAATCCTAAAACTTTCAAAAAGCGCAATCAAGTCCTAAAACTTGTCACGAAAATACAATTGAGCCATAAAACTTTCAAAAAGTGCAATCGATGGAAGAATTTGATTGGACTATGATAAGTGTAGGATTTATTTGCACTTTTTAAAAATTTTAGGATTCAATTGCACTTTCTTAACAAGTTTTAGGACTCAGTTGCACTTTCGTAACAAGCTTTAAGACTTCCAATACACTTATCCCTTATTCATTTATCATCATCTATGGACACATGTGCCTAGAACTCCATTCATTCAACCTCTCTAAAGCTACGAGTGCTTTATCTTCAATCACAAATAGGCTGGTTGAGAATGGATGCAAGAGTCAAAAGAGAATCATACTCACTGTTCTGGGTTCTTAATCACATGAAGGCACATGCAGGATGGAGAGACTAGAAGGAAGCATGTGCACTAATGAGCCCTTGGGGCCATTTGATTAACTTGCATTTTGTATTAGAGAGAACATGAAATTGGGAGAATAATTCTGAAGCAACTTCTACTCTGACTGCCTAGGATAAACTCCATGCAATCTGTGAATAGATTTCTCCTTGTTACCAGCTAAATTTCAAGTTTCAACAACAGAAGAATCATAAAAATCACCGACTTTGGACAAGAAATAATGTAAGAAATGGCACCGGGGTCAATCGTTACCATTTTCCCTTCTACTATAAAAACTGGTGAAAGTTTATTTGCGACTTCAATTCTTCTTCTTTCTGTGCTGAGGTTTGTTGTTCTGGCTCGGGTTCGATTTGCTGGGCGGCGCTGTCCTCAGATTAGCCTCCACCAACTTCTGAGGATCTCTCCCCCCTTTACCCGTCTTGCTTAAACTCATGTACATTATCGTGGACGACAGCAGCATCCTCCTTGGCACTTTTGTGAGTAATGTCGGGCAAACTTCAGCCTGCTGGTGAAGCATTATTACCAGAGAACACATCACGCAAAGCGCAAGAATTGACAAAAACATGGCAACGAAAGATCTGTGGCTACTTCCCATGGCAGTGTGGTCAGAGAAACGACTGGAGGTTCAGAAGATGAAAGCTAATTGCCGCAGAAGTTATGGTAGTATGTCTTCAAGCTTAAGAAGAAGCGTTATATAGATCCAATCCTTTCTCTTTTTTGAATTATAAACGTGAAAGGATCTTTATGATAGTCAAAGGCTGGAATAGTTCTATCCTTAATCAAAGCTTCCACTTAGTATTTAAAAAATTAGTATGAGGATGAAGAGGAATAGAATATACGCAAATGGACTCAAAAGAAACCACATGAAATCAGGAATCAAATGCATATCAATATCTGTGACTAAAGAAAATTGAGCAATTGGCTTTACAAGCATAATATCAAGGGCTAAAATATTTAGACAATCATGTGACTCCTTATTTGACCAGTATAATTCCCATCCTTTGATAACAATACTTCTCTGACATCTCTGGCCAATTTAGATGGTTGAGCAACTTTTCTCATGTGACTGATCACATGATGAGGCCAAGCCAGTAGCTTTATTTTCTATCCTCTCTGTATTTGGTTCTCTAAGTCAAGATGGCAGCTAAATCTAGCTTGTTGAGCCTGCTTCTCAACTTAAAAGCCAAAAATCTAGCCACTCTCCTTTGACTCTTTTCATACTTCTCTCCAAGTCTAGTCAATTTGCCTTACACTTCTTTTGGTTCTTCTCGGTGGGTATCCCCCTTCGTGCAAGCTTCCCCTGAATGATCAATCTTCTTTTCCCTTTACACTTAGCTGGCTTGTCAGCCATTACCGTGTTTCTTTCTACTCATTTATGCGCTTTGAACCTGCTCATTACCTTTGCGCTCAGACATGGATTCAGCTGCCCAACATCCAAAAAGAAGATATTCTAGCAGCCCCACCACCATAGTTACTTTGTTGAGAGAACAATATTGTACAATCACCCCATTTGTACTGATGTTTCCAAGTATTCACATCCCAAATGTGATCACTTAAGTTTGATTAGCATTCAGAAGTTCCTCGTGTTCATTTGTAAAAAAGGATGTAAAGAATGACACTATTAACCAGTCAACCTCCTGGAGCTGGATTTTAACAGGCATTGCGAATCATTCATTGGCTGCCGGGAAATATTCAATCTACATGAAAGGAACAGATAAAAGTTTCTTATGGCCGGTAACTTTTGAGGGATTTTGGCTCAAATTAGGACTCTATACGTATTTTGGTTAACCCAATATGTAAGAAAAAATTGTAACTGCAAGCATCTTTCTATTCTGATCACATAATAGCTGTGTAAGCATGAAATGCCATGGTTTGTCAGCCCTTTGTCTAGGATCATATGCTAGCCACTTCATATACAGTGCAATTTGCTAATAGCTGAGTCATTCTCATAAAAACAATGATACAGAGAATGCAGTGTCGACTGCCGAAATTCTTTTTAGAGAGCTAGTCAGTTTCCATTCTAAATAGACAAAAGAAAAAAACCTCAGGCACAACAAATCAGTAGAAAAAAGGTACCTCGAATGTAAATATATCCACCAGCAACAGCACCTATTTCATAACGAATCAGAAGAATCATAGACTCATTTTTCTTGGGAATAAATCAAAGGACATTTTGTCTTGTTGGTATGAGGTTGTTAGTTTACATGAATCAAAGGCCTTAAAACTTTTGATGGTGCTTTTATGACCCTTCATCTAGTATCCCCATCATCACCACATAATAAAGACTCTTTGTCCTTTGAAATAATGCTAGTATAGCCAAATTGTGTCACAAAACAAGAAATTAACTGATCTTCAATCACTTCTTCCGTGGGAAGCACCATGTCAGTCTCCCTCTTCAACGACGTGACTTCTTTATCCTCAATTCCACAAGGGACAATATGCTTAAAGTAGTTCAAATCAGGATTAATGTTGAACGCCAGCCCATGAGAGGTGATTCCATTCGATATACGAACCCCAATGGCACCAATCTTTCTATCACCAACCCAAACCCCAGTCTCACCTGATTGTCCTCGGCAAGCCGTCGCACCATATAGAGATGCTAATTCAATCATAGTCAACTCAAGTTTTTCCACATATTTTCGAGCACCAAGACCAATATCACGGAGAGAAATGATGGGGTACAAGATGGCTTGATGCGGACCATGAAATGTAATGTCTCCGCCTCTTTGAGTGTAGTAAAGTTCAGCTCCCATTTTTCCAAGGTCTGACTCAGTGACTAGCAAATTATGATCCGTCCTTCTTTTCCCAAGGGTATAAGTGGGCGGATGTTGCAAAGACAATAATGTGTCTGGAATTTTATGACTCTTTCTAGCAGCAATTAGTCTTTCTTGGAGCTTGAGTGCGTCCAAGTAGTTGACAATGCCCATTCTACAGACCTCAATGATTCTCGCCGATTTCATCCCTAGAAAAAAAAAATGAAATAAGAGAACTTAGATCCTTGCATGCGATCAACAAATGGCATCAGTTCAATTACCATGCAGAACCATATAGTCCGAACTGTCAATCGTCCACAAACTAGAACAAAGAATAGAAGCACACTCATCCCAAAACCAAAACGAATGAATGATTGAAACTCACTTCTCTTTATCTAACAATTGCAGGAAAGGTCCAACAAGTATGTCAATTGCCTTGACGGAATTAGTGCAAAACTACAGCCGCCATGTATATGCCATGCTTTATTATTGCTAGAAAGATTTTTTTTTTTTGTTCGAAAGTTTAAATTGACACCAGTATATTAAGTCCTCAAAACCCCACTAAGCATACGGCCCCATTAATTTGACCCCATCATCTTTCATTTCTAAGCTGAAATTGTGACAAAGCGAGAGTAAAATACCTACAAGAATTTGCTAATTTTTACTCAATGGGGGGGAAAATAACCATATAAACCCAACCAAGGCGTAAATTTGAATTTGAATTCAAAATATAGTTACCGCCATAAGGAGATTACATCTCATCATATTCCCAACTATCATTATCATTGTATTTCGAATTTCGAAATTCACCCTCAGCACAAACTCAAGGCATAACGTTAATCTTTTACACGCAACTGTCAACTTAGGTCCAGTTGATCTTCAAGTATTTTGAGGTTTTCGTCAAGCTTTCAGCCAGAGTAAATCAACTAAGAAAGATGCAGCTTGATGTCAGAGATGGGCATGGAGCTCTCGAGTCAAACTGCAGCAAAAGAGCATACTTTGAGTTAATCCCACCCCCCATTAAACTGTGCCCACTGTCCTAAACATCCTACTTCTGCTCATCATTATTCACAATTCAAACCCATTGGTCATTTTGACATGTCACTTCAGCTCGCATAGTACAATCTCAAAATCCTTTTCTCTCTGTTTTCCATGTTTTTTTTTTCTTTTGGCTAAGAATCTCATTTCCTCGCTCGAACAGGGAATGACAAGATAAATAGGCTGTCTGAGGCATTTCATCGAACACGTTTCGTAGCCCATCAACATTTAGAGTTCCCTCTCTCAAATCTACCGTCATATGTACCATTCCCACTTTGGGTAACCCCTACACGAGGCAGATACTAATTCTTTGCAATCATATGCGCAGACTTGCACTCAGTGGAATCGGGTAATCACTCAATTCTGCCAAAAGTAAGAAACTTTCACTTGCGAATCAGCAGTTGCACAAGAAAGAGCGTTCGAATGAGTGAGAGAGAGAGAGAGAGAGAGAGAGAGAGGTTTACTTGTTGGGTATCACATCAACCAGGAGCGCAAGCTTCCCTCAGACCCACAGAGCAGAACGGCGAAGCGAAACTGAGAGCTCAAGAGCACAAGGATGAGCCCATCTTCTTCATGGACGTGGTGGACTAGTATCAGTACGGTTTCTTCGAGTTGACCGATGAGGGGTGTCCATTTGCGCTTAGATTTGCCTAACGAGGAGATCAATTAGTGTTTTTTTTTTGTAGATGAGGAGAGTATAAATCAGTTAACAAGTAAGAACACAGATTGAACCCTCCAGCAAAATCTAATTCGAAGGGGGGGTTTGAAACTGAGATCAAAATTTTTATCTTGGACTCAAAAGTAATAAGTCGTTCCAATTCGAAAGTAATAGAGAGAAATTAGTAACACAACCCTCCTAGCTTTTAGGTAATTGCAAAACCCGTGCTCAACTTCGCTCTGTCAAAACAAACGCACCCTTAATTTAAACTGTCCTTATTTTCTTATACTCTCTTACTAAATTGAACACCAACCTTTACCCTCACGGTGATTCATTCGATACTTTCCCCTCTTATTTTGCTAGCACATTTTCGCCACTCTCCAAGCATATATTTGTCGTGCCGTAGCGCCGCATTTCCCTAGAATCCATCTATAGCGCCGAGGGACGTGTAGAACTTCGTAACCAAAAATTGGTAACTGTAAAATTCTCATTTAAACAGAGTAGAGATAACTCATTATGCAATGTAGCAAATGGTAAATTTTTCACAACAGCTCTCTTTCAATTTTCAGGCCGCCAAAAAAAATCAAGAGGCCAAAGTTGGGTACATTTTCTTTTTTTTCCAGCAATTTTGTAGGCAAACTGTATCTAGTTTGAGGTTTTCGTCAAGCTTTTGAGGTGCAGCTTTTGAGGTGCAGCGATTTTGATCTTCAAGTATTTTGAGGTTTTCGTCAAGCTTTCAGCCAGAGTAAATCAACTAAGAAAGATGCAGCTTGATGTCAGAGATGGGCATGGAGCTCTCGAGTCAAACTGCAGCAAAAGAGCATACTTTGAGTTAATCCCACCCCCCATTAAACTGTGCCCACTGTCCTAAACATCCTACTTCTGCTCATCATTATTCACAATTCAAACCCATTGGTCATTTTGACATGTCACTTCAGCTCGCATAGTACAATCTCAAAATCCTTTTCTCTCTGTTTTCCATGTTTTTTTTTTCTTTTGGCTAAGAATCTCATTTCCTCGCTCGAACAGGGAATGACAAGATAAATAGGCTGTCTGAGGCATTTCATCGAACACGTTTCGTAGCCCATCAACATTTAGAGTTCCCTCTCTCAAATCTACCGTCATATGTACCATTCCCACTTTGGGTAACCCCTACACGAGGCAGATACTAATTCTTTGCAATCATATGCGCAGACTTGCACTCAGTGGAATCGGGTAATCACTCAATTCTGCCAAAAGTAAGAAACTTTCACTTGCGAATCAGCAGTTGCACAAGAAAGAGCGTTCGAATGAGTGAGAGAGAGAGAGAGAGAGAGAGAGAGAGGTTTACTTGTTGGGTATCACATCAACCAGGAGCGCAAGCTTCCCTCAGACCCACAGAGCAGAACGGCGAAGCGAAACTGAGAGCTCAAGAGCACAAGGATGAGCCCATCTTCTTCATGGACGTGGTGGACTAGTATCAGTACGGTTTCTTCGAGTTGACCGATGAGGGGTGTCCATTTGCGCTTAGATTTGCCTAACGAGGAGATCAATTAGTGTTTTTTTTTTGTAGATGAGGAGAGTATAAATCAGTTAACAAGTAAGAACACAGATTGAACCCTCCAGCAAAATCTAATTCGAAGGGGGGTTTGAAACTGAGATCAAAATTTTTATCTTGGACTCAAAAGTAATAAGTCGTTCCAATTCGAAAGTAATAGAGAGAAATTAGTAACACAACCCTCCTAGCTTTTAGGTAATTGCAAAACCCGTGCTCAACTTCGCTCTGTCAAAACAAACGCACCCTTAATTTAAACTGTCCTTATTTTCTTATACTCTCTTACTAAATTGAACACCAACCTTTACCCTCACGGTGATTCATTCGATACTTTCCCCTCTTATTTTGCTAGCACATTTTCGCCACTCTCCAAGCATATATTTGTCGTGCCGTAGCGCCGCATTTCCCTAGAATCCATCTATAGCGCCGAGGGACGTGTAGAACTTCGTAACCAAAAATTGGTAACTGTAAAATTCTCATTTAAACAGAGTAGAGATAACTCATTATGCAATGTAGCAAATGGTAAATTTTTCACAACAGCTCTCTTTCAATTTTCAGGCCGCCAAAAAAAATCAAGAGGCCAAAGTTGGGTACATTTTCTTTTTTTTCCAGCAATTTTGTAGGCAAACTGTATCTAGTTGCAGCAAAGACTGAAACGACAGAAAACAAATGAATAACAAGGAGATCTCTCCTACTATATAAACCAATCCCGATCCTCAACAAACAGAAAACCAGGGAACGGCTATGGCACATACTTTCTCCAGCTGCAAAAACAAATCGGACTCGACTGTACTATATACAACAGGAAATACTCGGCATCTGGTACTTGCATGTTTCGGGACAAAGCAGCACGGACTCATGAAGAACAAGAGAGCATGCAAACGCCAGGCCGATATGCCCAAGCCGGGGGAAGGCGAGCGTATTTCTCCATGCCTGGCTGCTCGTCGTAGGGTCTCTGCATTAGCTTAAGCAGCCTCCGGACCTCTCCGAAATCACCCAGTTCGGCCGAGTCGATTGCACTCTGGCAAAGATAGTTCCGGAGGACATACTTGGGGTTCACTGAATTCATATGAGCCTTTCTCTCTTCATCGGACACCTCGCTATTGACAAGCTGATAGTGGACACATGAATGTTAATTTACCAAAACAAAGAGCCTGGAATATGTACTAGTGTAACAAGATAAGAAAAGCTAAATGAAATGCAGATATCCATGAGGAAAAAAGCAGGTGCCTATGGAAGAAAATTATGATGCTGGAATGGCTAATTCTCAGAATACAGTATCCAGCAGTCCCCTGTCAATGATATGCTTTATCAATGACGACGACTTTAAATAAGAAATTTTCTCCATCTATCGAACTTGGAAGGAGCCAATGTCATAAGTATACAGGAAGAACTTGCAGTTCAATAACAGATCAAGAGAGATGCAGATGCCCTACATTGCACATACAGGTTTTGATTCATTAAGTTCACTCTGAACAGTACTCCTATTCTTAGTAGTCTAGAAAGTTATGCTTAATCGTAAGGCAGCAATTTATTGTACGTCCACCAATCGCACATAACGAGTCTGCCAATACACTTCAGACAAAAGCAAGATCAATACTAGTTCAGATGAAATGGCACATTTATGCAACACGTCCAACATGAGCAGATGACAGCACCCTGGACAAGTCATCTTCACAATGTGGAAACTATGAGGGAAAAGTCGATATATCATTCTACCTCCTGTATGTAGATTTTCACCCAGCTGATCCATGCCTCCTTCCGCTCCTTCCCGATATCGAGTAGAACAGCCTTCAGTGGAACCAGTAACTCATCCTCTGGAATGCTAAGATCGGCTTTGATATTTGCAAGTGCCCGAAAGAAATTTGTGTAATCAACTTTATCAACGGCCATATTATTAAGAAGTTTGCTAATTAACTGTTTATTGTACTTGGGGAGGCCAAGTTTTCTAGTCATTATGCCTTGATATTCATCCATAAATTTGGTCCCATATCTGCAGTACAACAAATAGTCTAGAATGAACAGCAAGTTGACAATATTATATCCTTCAGAGAAAGAAAAGTGAAGACAAGGTATACCTTTCCATGGCATAGTTTGCCTCCTTGTCATTAATCAGCTCAGCAGATGAAAGAGTTGAGACAAACTGCGCAATATTCCATAAACCAATATCAGGCTGATTTGCGAAACAGTATCTTCGCCCTGGAAGATCTGTGGTATTGGGTGTGTAACTTGGATCAAATGCATCCAGAAATCCAAAGGGACCATAATCAATGGTGAGCCCCAAAATGCTCATGTTGTCTGTGTTCAGTACACCATGTGTGAAACCAACACCCTGCCATCTCGCGATCAAGGAAGCAGTACGTTCAGCGATGTCCACTGCCCAAGCTGACATCATTGACAATTCAGATCAAAAGAGATATTAGCCAGAAATTCTGCTAACCTTTGTCTAGAAATCCGTAGGGTGAGTAAAGAAGCATTAAGGTTGCATGTTATGGTGATAGCATCATCACCAGAAAAGGCAAATTCTTAACATACTCTACAACTCTAAAATAAACAAAGGATTCGAATCCCAATCTCGTGAATCCTGTGAGACAAAAAATTGGTTGTATTGTCCTTGACATCAACTAAGTTTTAAGAAGAGTCAGTGTCCTATGCAAATTAAAAGCTGCTGTTCAAGGGCCAACCACTTATCATATTTCATCGTTACAACAAACCAAAATCCTCATTACATCAGCAGCAATACATCAGCAGCAAGAGATGAATTTTGCTCCAAATAATGAGATGACCAAGGATCAAGGCAGTACATAGAAATTCAGAAACTATATAATTCACGCCCATCTTCTATGTAGAGTAAGATGCTATATTAACAAGATTGATCCCCTCAAGATAAGCTCTTAAATTCATTCTTTTTTAATTCATCCATATTGATTGGGAATTGCAGCGGATAGATAGGCAGAACTACAATACCAATTATAAAGGACCAAAGGACTCGCTAGCTTATACAACATACACATTATTTGTACAAAAAACAGTTAAGTACTCAGGAGACCTTTATCACTTAAAGAAAGAAAAGAATCATAAGTTATTCATCATGCATAGCAAAATATGAACAACGGTTATGATATAGCAACTGAACTGAGTACTCCAAAATAAACTACCTGCATATTTGTTTGAGGTCAGATCCACAACTGTCTGATCATCATTGCCTGTGCTGAAAGACAAGCTTTCACTTCTACTCATGTTTTCAATATGTGGGAAGTGATATCTTATAGCATAGTCAGCCAAAGCGCGAACAATGCCAAGGTCCTCTTTTCCTCTCGAAGCATGTAGTTGATAAGAACCAAAGCGCAAAAAGGATTGAGCAACTCTGCAAACAATTGCACCAGGTTCATCCTTGGGATTTCCACTGGTGTGAGAATCGAGAAAGTTAAAATCCTGTCCCACTGAATTCCAGAAAAACTAACAAATTCCATGTAAACTGCATTC